AAGTCTTTTCAAAGCTAGAAACTGATAAGTCATCCCTCTGATAAAATGTGACCAAACCAAAAAAACCAAACTCATTGTCATCGAGTTGATTCCGACTCGTAGTGACCCCCCCCTTTGGCTTTCTGAGGCTGTAATCGTTACACAAGCAGATTCCCCAGTCTTCCTTCTGCAGTGTGGTTGGTGAGTTTGAACCACCAACCTTCTGCTTAGCAGTTAAATGCCTTAGGCACTTGGTGAAATGTGACAGTAGTCATTAAATATCAAGGACATTAATGGAAGTAGAGCACTGGCAGCCACTCATGTACAGCACCTCTTGTCTCAATTGCAAAAGGTAGCACCTTAAATTACTGAGTATATACAATAATAGCACTAATTAAAAAAAAAAGCCCACTGCTGTCGAGTTCGATCCAACTCATCGCAACTCCTCCTTGGATTTCCGAGGCGGTATCACTACAAAAGTAGATTGCCCAATCTTTCCGAGGAGCGGCTGATGGGTTTCAACCACCAGTCTTCTGGTTAGCAGTCAAACGCCTTACGCACTACACCATCAGAGCTTCCAGTATATACGATGGACACCCATTAAGAACAGAAAAGGAATACAAGTGTGCAATAGCACAGAGATGGGTAAATTCACATTTTAGTTTTGAAACTTAAAGGGTTCTACTGATCCCAAGGGATACCAAAAGAACAAGTAGGGCATATTGAGCTGGTAAGGGTTACACTGGTCCATCAATAGTTTCATTTAAGTAAGATTTTATCTTGTTTGTATAATAATCATTCAGGGCTCCTATACTACCCTCCATGTATTTATTTATATAGCACAAGGGCTGACTTAATATTAATAGTTTCACACAGACTCTCCTCTATGGTCCACATGTGCTGCCTTACAGGAGAGCCCTGATCAGATTTCCTAGAACTGACTTCAGGACTAATCTTATACATTAAGGTTCTATGTCCCCACCAAAACTTCTTTTCCATTCAGGCCAACTTATGACTCACTTGCCATTTATTAACATAACACAAGAGGACAAGTAGAGCAAATTACAGATGTGTTACTCACTATTACTGATCCAACTGACTTTGGATCAGTAATAGTGAGTAACACATCACTAACTACTAAGATCTATTGTTTATTTCAAATTTATTTACCAGATTTAATATAAATTCACACAAGACTACTTCTTGGAACAGTATTGATAAGGTTAAAAATGTTACTAGAAAAAAGCATAAAAATATATCAAGCTTCCCATCATCTGTCTACCACTAACCAATCACTTTTCATGGGCAAGTTACAAACAAACATATTTGAAAAATGTAATCCTTTGAAGCAGACAAACCAAGTATCACCTCCATTTGACAGAAGAAAAGCTAAGTGACATGCTCATGACTAGCTAGGAAGCTAGAGAAAGGATGTGCTCCTTCTTCTGCATCAGTGTCTCCTGGTGGCCTTTGTTCACTGAACACAATGAGACTTTCAAGCACTCAAAAATTTTATATATACATATAATTTTAGAGAGTTCATAATCTCAAAGCTTAAAATCAAACAGTAATGGATTTGAGCTAAACCTCATGTGCAAAAGCACTACTCAAACCTCCTCAGGTAGACTTACTACTACTAGTACTGAATAACCTTTTCAACTTATTATCCATGATGGTATTTACTGGTTTAAAGATAATGTTAGATCAAAGCACCCAAGGTATCACTTCTGAAATTAAATAAAATGAAATCTGGCAAAGATATTCATTGCATATATATTTCATTAAAAAGAAAACTATGTATGTAGCATCTTTAAATATCTTCAAACATTATCTGATAAAGAAAAAACACACAAGGTAAAAATTGTTTTGGGTCCTCAATTTTGAGTAAAATAACTGAACTATATTAGTATATAACTTTCTAGAAGATTAACAATAATCACTTATTTATATTTGAGCTCTGGTAGTGTAGTGCCTAAGGCACTTGACTGCTAACCAGAAGGCTGGTGGTTCAAACCTACCAGCCCCTCCTCAGAAGGAAGGTTGGGCAATCTACTTCCATAGTGATACTACTGCCTTGGAAACCCAAGGAGGGGTTGCTATGAGTCGGTCCACTGGACTGCACATAACAAAAACAACAACATTTATATTTAATGAGTTACTAGTAGTACCTTTTCCTGTAGTAACTGCTATGGTGATAAAAAGTTAATTGGTCGTTATCATGTTAAGTTGCCTTCTATTAAGAATGTAGAAAGCATCCAGTTGTCTCCAAAAAGATGAGTCCAAAATGACAAAGCACATGTAACTATTATTCCCAACAGGTGGAACAGAACATGTTTCAACATAGGCAGAGTCCTAAACAGAACTTGAACAATGGTTCTGGGTCTGTCACCTAGGTAGTTCTAAGAAAATTATTTCAAAGCTTTAGCATTTCATTTTCCTCATGTTAAAATGAGGGTACTGGAGTAGCTGACCTTATGGATGATCAAACTGAGGTTTAAAACATCTATGAATGTGTAACTAGAAGACAGACAATAATCCCAGAAAAATATCAGAATATTATAGGCAACTGACTTTAAAACTATGTATTTCACATATACATAGAAACAGCTGAGAATGAGATAGGCCAGAAGATTATATAAAGCAGTGAAATAAGTCTTATAATAGCTGTTGGGAGGTGGGGGATGCTGAGTTCACAGAACTGCCCCAAGATTGGAAGGCCATGGGGAATGAGGCTCCATTATGTGATAGTTTCATAAAAACTGTTTTAGCATTTCAAGTGCTTGATTTGGAAAATTAGATGTAACCCAAGTTCTATATCATTCCACTGCCTGCAATATTGAGAAGTAATTATTTTTTTGTGAAGGGAGGTATCAACAAAAAAAAAAAAACCAAACTCACTGCCACCAAGTCAGATTCGACTTGGTGACCCCTCCTTGGGTTTCTGAGGCTATATCACTACAGAAGTAGATTGCCCAACCTTCTATCTGAGAAGTGGCTGGTGGGTTTGAACTATCGCCCTTCTGGTTAGCACTCAAATGCCTTAGGCACTATGCCACCAGAGGTAAGAGGAGCTTAAAAAAGAAATGACCTAAGAAATAAAACTACTAAAATGTTAAATATCAAAAACACTACAGATATCCAGTAAATTTTGTTAAGTGGACTGGACAAGTGGGGTGAGAACTGTTTTCCCCACACCTCTGATTAGTAACTGTCCTTACTTAAGAAATTATTTTTCAGCTATGAGAAAAAAGTTTAAAATTTAGGTTAGGTAAAAGTAGCTTACTACACCACTGAAAGTAATCAGAACACTTTATTTTCTTTCTAAAACATAAACTCCTTGGAAAAGAAGCAATGTCCAGATGATAGTGTACATACTACTTAGCAGGCTAAGAGTAGTTAATAAATATTGACACAATACGATTTTCATAGCTTGCATTCTAATTTTGTAAGAGTCATTCGTTCTTGTTTTTTTCTGTAATGTTCACTAGTATTTCTTTAGTCTCCTATCACCTTCAAGACTTGTCAGCAGCATCACTGAAACTATTTATTTCATTAAAAATGTGTTAAGTAGCTTAGATTTAAAAGCAAGGTCTAATCCCAAAGTCATTTCTACTATACATACTATGACAAAACTTTATTTTTATTTCTACTAAACTGTAAGTTTTTTGCTTTTTTTCATAAGTAAAAAAAGTAATTTCTTAAGTAAGGTTACTTAGAACTCAGAGGTGTGAGGATAACAGTTCTCATCCCACTTGCATAGGGCACTCAACAAGATTAACTGGATACCTACAGTGTCCTTGACATGTAACATTTTAAAGAGTTGTATTTCTTAAACTTAAGGTCATTTCTATTTCAAACCTCCCCCACCCCAAAAAAGCTCTGCTGCTTCTCTCAGTATTGCAGGCAATGGGATGATCCAAAACTGTGGGTCTTATCCATATTCTTAGAATAACTTTGGATTATAAATACCATATGCTATTAGTTTAGGAGCTCTGGTAGCATAGTGGCTAAGACACTTGACTGCTAACCAGAAGGCTGGCGGTTCAAACCCACCAGTCACTCCTCGGAAGGAAGATGGGGCAATCTACTTCCGTAGTGATACTGCCTCGGAAACCCAAGGAGGGGTCGCTATGAGTCGGGTCCGACTCGAGGGCACATAACAACAACAACATGCTATTAGTTTACGTTTCTAACAGCACCCTAACCACTTCATAAATATAATTCCAAACAGATTGTGTATTTTAAGCACACCTGTAAGTTTTTAAACATTCAGACTCAGATTATCTTTCTAGAATTCTAAGTTTAACCAAATCGTCTGTGCTAAAATTATTTTTTAAAGCTGTATGGACCAAACCACTTGGCACATTCACTTTTGGCTTTACCAGCAAAAACCTCCACACCAAAATGAAGAAAGTTTCCTTTACATTCCCTCAACTGAAAGGGGGGGGGCGAGACAACTTCTTGCCGACTGGAATTTAACACAAACCCTAGCAAACCTACTAACTCACGTTTAACATCAGAATCGTGTGGAAACTAGTAGTTACTGAACACAACCCCTGGGCTTGACACATCACTTCTTCCACCAGTCCAATCCCTAAGCCTCAACCCACCAAGCACATGCCAAAATACTACTTAAGAGAATCAAAAACCTCGAAAACACAGAGAAAGGGCTCCCCTTTAAAAGAAAAAGCAAGACTATCCCTGCCTAAGGCCTTGACCTGGTCAGTTCTGCTACAAGGAGAGCCAACTCGGCCCCCCGGTACGCCCCGCCCGGGGCCCGCTCTTTCCCCTCCAGCGACAAAACCCTCCCTCCGGCGCTCAACCAGAATTGACAGTTACAGCGGCACAAGTACGGCCACCAGGGGCCTACTTCTGGCAGCATATCCTCCAGGACACGCGCCCCCAAACACTCGTCCCGGACGGGAGGGGCGACCCTCGTCAGAGCCGGCCCAAGAAAGGCCCAAGAGGAGGAGGGGCCGCGTCTCCGCTCCGCCCGGCCTCCCCACTGCGAAAACACTGACCTGCGGTCGCCCCCGCGCCTGGGCTGCGGTCCTCGCAGCAGAGGCCGCTTCGCTGGTCGTCCTCGCCCTCGCCCGCCGCCTCCGCCCGCCACCGCCTCGTTGTCGATCGCTGCCGCCACTGCCGGGGCTCATGCGGGACCCGCGCTTCCTTCTCCAGAGACCACAAGGCCAACCTAGGGTGCGCCGGGGCCGCCAAGGACCCCGCGCTTTTCTACAGCCAACGCTCCGCCGCTGTCTATCCAAACCGGGCTGCGGAGCCCGCCTGGCTGGAGCTAGGCCGCGAGCGGCTCCGAGCAGGGCCCCGAAGAGGTGCCGAGGGAGGCACCGCCGCCCGCGGCCAAGAGTGCTGGATCGACAGAGGTGAAACGCCAAGTCGGGAGGCGGGGGCGGGTGGCAGGCGCCGGGGCCGGCGGCTGGCTACGCAGCTGCAGAGTGCGTGAGCGAGCGAATTGCGGGGTGTCGGGATCCTGGTGGGGGGAAAGGGCCCTGTCGTCTCCCGTAGTCACCCCGAGCCCAGCACCACCATCTTGCGAGAAACGCGGATCTCGCGGCTGCGGCGCAAGCTGGGAGGACCAACTGGGCGGGCCAAGCATCCCGGCAGGCAGCGCGCGCCGCCTGGCCGGGTGAGTGCTACGGGAGGGGACCTGGGATGTGGGCTCTCTCAGCCCCGCCCTCTTCACCGGTCCCGCCCTCCCTCTCACTTGTCGTCACTGCTGGCGCGTGGGTCCTTGGGAAGGGGTGGTGGCCACAGTTTCCGTGGCGTCCCACCAGATTTAGTCGCCATTTTGGGACTGGGCAGTGTATGAGTCATTCTATTGACCCACCGCTCTCTGTGACTGGACAGAGAGAAGAGGGTACACTCCGGAAATACTTTCGATTTCTTATAAGAGTTGGGGAACCTCCTAGTCTCCTCAGCCGGGAAACAAAGCGCCGGTGTTTAGAGCCCTGACTTTGTTGGAGGTCGAATCGGCCCCAAAGGGCAACCGTAGCGGCATGGAAAGCCACCAGCTCCGAGGCGAGATAGAATGAAGACTTCCCACGCTGGGTTCTTTTTCTCCTGAGCTGTCTTAGTAAACTTGAGGGATTGCTTTGAGAGTACAGGCCAGGGTTAGGGTACCAAGGTCATCTACTTTTCTTGGCAACTTTAAGAATGTGTGACTAGTTTACAACAGGTGGAAAGGTAAAAGCCTGCAGTGTGGACTGTGAGTTGTCAATAACGAAAGTGGCCTCTTGGTTTTACCCCAGTTGCGGCATGGAACCTAATTTTGATCCAAATGCCAATTGAACTCATTTATGGCCATGCATCTTCACTGGAAATTACACGTAGTACCAGGGTCACCATTTCATTTAAAGGCTTTAGTTATAGCGTTGCAACGCTGGCTAGCAGAGCTATAATGGAGTCACATTCATAGTCCTGTGGCTTGGAACTTTGCTGATAATTCCATAAAATACTCTTATGAGAGACCCCATTCATCCACTGTTGAGATTTTTTTTTTATTTTTACAGCAGAAAATCATACATAGTGTATTTTTTTAAGTGATATTTTTAAGGCATCATTTCTTTTTATGTATAAAACCAAACTCACTGCCATTGAATTGATTGAGTCATAGCAACCCCACTGGGTTTTCAAGACTGTAAACTTTTACAGTAGATTGTCCTGTCTTCCTTAGGCAGGGCAGCTAGTGGGTTTCAACCTCCAACTTTCTGGTTAGCAGCCAAGTGGCTTATCCACTATGCCACAAGAGCTCCTTTTTTTTCTTTAAATGTTTGCTGTTTGTTGTTATTTGCTGTTGAGTTGGACTGACTCATAGCAATTCCTCCTTGGGTTTCCAAGGCATTATTACTGCGGAAGTAAATTGATAGCCCAACCTTCCTTCTGAGGAGTGGCCGGTGGGTTTGAACCACCAGCCTTCTGATTAGCAGTCAAGTGGCATAAGCACTACGCTACCAGAGCTCCCCTTTAAATATATAGCTAGGGATAATTAAAAGGGAGATTTGGGGGCTAATGGTTAAGCACTTGGTTGCTAACTAAAACGTCAATAGTTTAAACTCACCAGAGGTGCTGGGGAGAAAATACCTGGTGATCTGCCCCCATAAAAATTAAATCAAAAACAACCAGACCCTTTGGATCCACCCTATGAGTGGATTCTGACTCACTGGGATTCTAATGGATAAAGTAGAACTGCTCCACAGGCTTTCCAAGCTATTAACTTTTACAGGAGCTCTGGTAGCATAGTGGCTAAAGCACTTGACTGCTAACCAGAAGGCTGGCGGTGCAAACCCACCAGCCACTCCTCGGAAGGAAGGTTGGGCAATCCTACTTCCGTAGTGATACTGCCTCGGAAACCCAAGGAGGGGTCGCTATGAGTCGGGGCCGACTCGACGGCACACAACAACAACAACAACAACTTTTACAGTAGCACACTACCACATCTTTCTCCCATGTTGCAACTGGTGGGTTCAAACCACCCACCTTTAAAAGCATGGTATCTTTCTCCAGGAAATGGTCCCTTCTAACAACACAACCAAAGTAGGTGAGATGACGTCTGGCCATTCTCACTTCCAAGGAACATCCTGCTGCACTTCTTCCAGGACAGATTTGTTTTTCTGGCAGTCCATGGTATTTTCAGTATTCTTCACCAATATCACAATTCAAAGGCATCAATTCTTTGGTCTTCCTTATTCATCATCCAGCTTTCACATGCATATAAGGTGATTGAAAATACCATGGCTTGGGTTAGGTGCACCTTGGTCTTCAAAGTGACATCTTTAGTTCTTAACACTTTAAAGAGGTCTTTAGCAGCACATTTGTCCAGTACACTACAATGACTGATTTCTTGACTGTTGCTTCTGTGGGTATTGACTGAGGATACATATGAAATGAAATCTCTGACAACTTCAATCTTTCCTCTATTCCTCATGATAATGCAGTTGTGAGGATTTTTGTTTTCTTTCTGTTGAGGTCTAATCCACACTGCAGACTGTAGTCTGACTTTCATCAGTAAGTGCTTCAAGTTTCCTTCACTCGGCAACCAAGGTTGTGTCATTTACATATTGCAGGTTGTTAATGCGTCTTCCCCCAACTTTGATAGCACATTCTTTATATAGTCTCCATTATTTGCTTAGCCTACAGATTGAATAAGTATGGTGAAAGGATATAACCCTGATGCACACCCTTCTTGATTTTAAACCATGTAGTATGCCCTTGTTCTGTTTGAACGACAGCCTCCTGGTCTATGTACAGTTTCTTCAAGAGCACAATGAAGTGTCTGGCATTCCCATTCTTCACAACATTATCCATGATTAGTTATATTCCACACAGTCTAATGCTTTTGCATAGTCAGTAAAACAAAGGTGAACTTCTTTCTGGTAGTCTTTGCTTTCAGCCAAGATCCATGGGACATCAGCACTGATATCCCTTGTCCCATGTCCTCTTCTAAATCTGGCTTGAATTTCTGTAAGTTCTCAGTCAATATGCTGCTACAACCATTTTTTAATTGTCTTCAACAAGATTTACTTGCGTGTAATATAATGATATTGTCCAATCATTTCCATATTCTGTTGGATCACCTTTCTGTGGAATGAGCAGGAATCCTTAAATTAGTAATACTGTTCTACTTCCATGTACATCAGTTTTTATGGAGAAATAAAATTTGTCCTATATCAGACTCATGTATTTTGTTAGCTGTGTCTTTCTAGAAAGTGACAGTAATTCCTAGTGAGTAGGATATTTTTCAGATTATTCCAAATAAAAGGAGGTCTGGTGGCACAGTGGTTAAAACATTCAGCTGCTAACCAAAAGTTAAGTAGTTTGAACCCACCAGCCAGACACTCCATGAGAGAAAGATGAAGCAGTCTCATTCCATAAGGATGTACAGTGTTGGAAACTATTGGGCAGTTCTACTCTGCCCTACAGAGTCACTATGAGTTGGAATCAACTCAGTGGTAATAAGTTTAGCCAAAATGAGATCCAGTAGTTTCTAATGATTTTCTCATTAGATTATAAAGTACAAGGAGAAATTTAATCTTTTGTAGTATAATGTATTAATTCCTTATACAAACCTAGAACTTCTCATATTTCCTAAGACCCATGGTAGGCATTGGAAAACAAACCAAACAGATCAAAACTCTCTGTACATGCCCTCAAAACTCACCATCCAGGAGGAAGTCATATGTGTACATAATAAAACTGTGAACACTTTTTGAAGTAACTCAATATTTCAGGGATTATTAGAGTATCTACTAGTCCTTATCTACCAATATTAATTGATCAAATAATATCTCTTAGAAGGATCAGCACAAGGCTGGTCTCTATGAGGCAAAAGTTAAAGGTGTCCCAAATGTCCAACTTTTACAAACTGTTTTACTACTCCATCATCTCTAACATCAACTACTCCTCCTCCTCTCAGTACTCTCCCTTCCATCTGCCCCATAATTCACTGTGATGTCTTACAGAGCTCACAAACTGCTTAGGAAATGGCTCACACAGTTGCAGAGGCTGGCAAATCCCAAGTCAGTCTGGAGGATTCTTACTTAGGTAGTTACAAGTTCTGACAAACCCAAACTGACAGGTCAGGTGATAGACTACTGGCACATAAGGCTGCAGAAAGTGGTGAATCAGGTCAGACAATAGGCTACTGTCTCAAGTCCGAATAACCAGAGGTCAGATGATGACAAACCAGATGCAGGATCCAAAGCAAGAAAGAGAACTTCACTAGAGCACTCATATATATTGGATGTAGACCTAGACCATACCCTCAAGAAAACGAAGGGTAGTGACTTGAGTCACATTAGTAAAATAGTGACTCAAGATACATTCCACCCTAGTCCTGCCTCATTAACATAATGGACAACTCACTCCAAAATGGAACCATAGCTGTGGTGGTTATGTTTTTGTGTCAAATTGGCTGGACCTGGTTGAGTGGCTGGGCAGCTGGTGGTAGTTATTACCTGTGATGAAACTGGCAGTCATCTCCAGCGTGGGATCTACCACAAGCAGCTGAGTAGCTGCCTTTGGGATGTGGTCTTCTTCCTGTATATAAGGAGAAGCCTTGGGAATGGTCTCTAGCTTATGGCACACTTGGACCCTGCATGTAGCTATGTCATTGTTCAGCAGCCTGCCATGCTCTGCCGACTTTGGGGCTTCCAATGGACTTGAATTAATGACCTGCCGTGTAGTTTGGTAACATCAGGACTGTGCCTTTTTGCCTGTCAACCTTGGACTTGGCAGCCTCAGCAGCCAGTAACTGTCTGAGTGAAGAAAAGCCTCTAGCTCCAGTGGGCCAGGAGCTGGAGGCAGAGCTGAAGCCCAAGGCTGAGGGCTTTCACCCAGCACCTAGAGCCTAGCACATTGAACTTGGACTTAAAGCCTCAACTTGTAAGAGAATAAGCTGCTATTTGTTAAGGCCATCCCATTTGTGGTATATATTCTTGTCAGATGGCACTAGGTAACCAGAACAATAGCATAGGCATGGAAGCTAGGATTTGTAATACATCACAAAATGGAGGACTATGGCTAGAAGGGCCATATTAAGTAAGTAACTGCACTGCATTAATCACCTTTTTTAAAATGA